GATCCCATTACAAAGAAGACTGCTAATTATTAACAGAGCCACCTGTTAACCCCCCGACACGGTTCCTACACAACTTTTTTTCCCACCAAAACCAAACCGATAAACTACAAACCTCCTGTGAAGTCATTACGTTTACTCCATGTGCTTAAAGTTCATTGGTTTTCATAAAATGTTGTATTTGTATTCCCTCTCATTTATCCTGCTTCTCCAGCGTAAATATATTTTACCTACAACATTTGCAGAAAAATACAAAATGTACACAAGTGAATCAACATTCTTGTTTTGATGCACGATTAAAGCCCAATGCAGCCTAAACAGAAATATATGATAGTGCATACATGTGTTTTGGAAGTGATACGTTAATATGAACAGCAGCTGTATGCATACACATTATGTTAGAGCTCGTAATGAACCGAGCAAAACATGGTGGAGCTCCTGCTGTTACAATGCTGCATGAGTAACAGCGTGACTGCTGGCAGAGGGTGATAAGTAAGACATTATTATGCACATTGCTGTTGTTAGACACTAACAATTAAAATGACATTTAAAAAACAGTGAGAGTTGTCTTAAAGAAGGGAAAGCACTAGTCAGTTGTACACAAGTCAATCAATTCGACCATGACAACTGCATTTTCACATTGTGTTGAGTCAGCACTGCCAACAGTTGAAGCCTGAGGTCTGAGTCAGCAGACATAAGCTTTTACTTTGCAGGATTTGAGGACTTAAATCTTTCCCCTCCTGGCATTAGAGCAGTCTGAGCCTTCGGGATGCTTTCAGACATGTTTTCTGAAGGCGGTGCTGGATGACAAAAGGCCAGCTGTGATTTTAATTCAATGAAATGTGCGTTAGTCTTATTACTTTTTTGGGGAATTGTAATTAAAATGTTTTGGATGCTCATTGATTCCCTTTCTTCTTGAAGCTGATTGATCTTCATTGTATATGTGTAAAGGCCACTAAAAAGGAAGGAGTGTGTGTGTTGTGGGGACATCTGAAATATGGTTGTCACAATGTAAAACATGAAATATTAGGGGCGAGTTTTGTTTTTTGGTGAGGGTAAAAGTTGGTGTTATATAATGGTTATGGTTAAGGACATGATGGAAAGTTGTGTGGGAATAATGAATGGAACGTGATGCATTTCCTCC